ATTTTATAAACATAATAAATTTAACTATTTATACAATTATTTGTATAAATAAGAATAAGTTACAAATATTTTTATAAAGGAGAAAATTTGAAATATTAAAACAATTGTTTTTAACATGAATAAATTAAAAATTATTTTATAAATTGTCACATAGGTTCAAAGCACTTATAAACAGGATTTATAAATTTTTTAACGCAATATCGTTGTTGAATTTATCAACCCATTAATTAGCTACAAATATTGTTGTTGAATTTATCAACCCATTAAATTAGCTGCGCTATAAAATACACGTTTATTAAGTCATTTATATTGTTTAAATCAAGGTCTTCTATCGCATCTAAAAGTTGAATCAGCCATACTGATTCCTAGTTCAGTAAACTAAAATTAACTTTGATCATTAAGCTATATGCATAATTTGAATTAGTAAAATGACTTAATGGATTACTGATTATTATTCAAAATGGTTCAAACTCTCACTTTAGCATAAGTCTTTTTAAGTATCCATTCAAGTATTAAAAATGACTAAACCAGGAACCTTATTCTATAGGTACTGTGAAATTAAGCACCAGACAAAAATCAAACAAAAAAAGCTTAAAACATAGAACAGCCTAATGATGCAAACACTGATTCCGAAATTCACTAAATTTGAGCAACAAGAGATGGTTGTTGTTCTTCCTGCACTACTTCATGTTGAAGTTGTTCTCTTTGCCAGTTCCACATAATGTCCTTAAGTGCTGGTCTAATCTCCTGCTGCAAAAGCTTCTGATACTCAGATGTATCCCCGTCGGACTTCTTAAGTTCCACAAGATGGAAGTGAGGGGTAATCTCGAAAATCTCCACATCAATATTCAGTGTCCCTTTCCTACCTTCCAGCTTTAACAAAACCCCGTCTTTTTTCTTAACTTTCAAGCAAAGACACTTGCAAATTTCTTCCAGCTTAGAGATTATAATCGAGGCTGGCTTGTTAGACAAAAACCGCATCTCTTTTTCTAGAATTGTGTCTTCAAACAAACCGGATAAATCAAAACCAGACGAGAAGGAGATTATATCAAAGGCGTTTAAGTTGTTGCAAGGTTTCACCTGTTGTTTTGTCTCCGTAATAGAACCACTACCGTTTTCGGATACTTCAAACACTCCATCAGCAGGCTGAGTAGCTAGTTCATGGTTTTCAGTCTCGATAACAACTGGCTTCTCTAACCCCTTTTTAAACCAAGAATTTTCCATGATCTTGGCCATTGATATCCGAGTCTTTGGATTTGGATCCAATATTTTGGACAACAACTGGCGAACCTCTAGTGCAAACCATTTAGGGAATTTGAATTCTCCTTCACTGATTTTCCTGTACATCTCCATCAGATTTTGATCTTGGAATGGAAGAGAACCAGCCAATAGAACAAACAAGATTACCCCGCACGACCATAAATCAGCTTTGCTTCCATCGTAACCCTTTCTGTTTATCACTTCTGGAGCAACATACGCAGGGGTGCCACACGTAGTGTGAAGTAACCCATCTTGGCGCTTTGATTCAGAAAGGGCACTTAAACCAAAATCCGAAACCTTCAAATTCTCATTTTCATCCAATAGTAGATTTTCGGGTTTTAAATCTCGATGACACACACCCCTGCTGTGGCAGTAGTCAACTGCGCTCATCAGCTGCTGAAAATATGCCCTAGCAACGTCCACCTTGAGCTTTCCCTTGGCTACCTTGTTGAAGAGCTCGCCACCTTTTGCATACTCCATGATAATGAAAATCTTAGTTTTAGTGGCCATTACCTCATAAAGCTCAACCACATTCGGATGTCTTACTAATTTCATGGCCGAAATTTCCCGCTTAATTTGATCAACCATCCCGACTTTCAAAATCTTTTCTTTATCAACTACTTTAATAGCCACACTCACGCCAGTTATAAGGTTCCTCGCATGGTAGACCTTAGCAAACGTTCCTTGGCCTAATAATCTTCCCAGTTCATATTTTTGCATTAACACATTTCCCTTCTGTACCATTTCTGTAACACTATTGGCGAACTACTACACTATTGATTATATAGTGCTCAAAGCTCAACCATCCTTGCAAATATTGTGTTTTGGAATTGAACAACTACCAAGATTTCCAACCGCGTCAGGCACCCGAGTACAAAATTGATATTGGCAGCGATCTAAAAATCTAACCTCCTCAAGTATTAAAAAGGTTAGCTCAGATGGAGCTACAACCTCAGAGAAGGAACTCTTTACTTTCAACCACATTTTTCAGCATCCCCTAGTTCTGGTAATGACACTAGAGAATAATACTAAAAAAAATGAACTTCTTAAAAAATGGTTACCTTTCAATTGCTCAAAAGAAAAATATTTGATAAAAGGCACACCTGGAAGAAAGATAGAAAGTTTAGTTAGAAACATTAAACGTTCCAATCAAGCTAAATAATAATATAAAAATATTATATGTAAACATATAAGATACATAAAACACTGAAGGCTGTTATTAATTTCGTTTTAAAAACCTACAAGAGGAAACAAGAAAACAAATTCGAACACCTACAAGAGTATAAGCTGTCAAAATATAAGACGAGCATGACACTACGCTCAGACAACGGAGTCGGGTTAAATGAACGAAAATATTAGCTGATTAGAAAAGCACCCTGCCTGAAAACAGAAGGTTGGACGGATACAGACTCAAGAAATTTAAAAAAGTCTAAAACAAAGATACGTTACTATAAATTTTAAAAATATACATGAAACTATAATCTTTAGAAACAAATTAACTGAAAACGAGACTAGAGTTGCACTGAATTGCTTGACTGATTAAACTATCTTTATACAACAAAATTCAATCCAATTACTACCTCGACTCTTTCACGATTCGATTCAGTACAATACAAATTGAGATAAAATAAAACTATATATACAACAAAATTAGGAAAGGGAGTTTTACATCACAGAAAATAGAGAAACCATCAAATATCAACATAAAAAAGGAGCGACGACAACCTAGTTTACTTTACCTTGTACTGAACAGCAAAAATTTTTGTTTATTGTTCTGCAGCCGATCTAGATCGGTGTCCACACGTATCCAAATTGTAATAAAAAAAGCATTATTTAACCAAAAAATCGACACATACATGAAACATATCACTAGCACGCAATTTTAGAGTACTCATCCTTCATAGTTATGCAGATTTTCTTAAAATTGAGTAAATTGAGCCGGTTTGAGAAAAAACCAAAACCTAACAGAGTTGATTGATGATAGACACTGCAAACTTGTACACACATGTGTTTCCACTTTACATCATTAATATCTTAACCTAACTCTCACAATCTTTGATTCTCCCTACCCACTTTCTTATGCATTCCACATTCCATTACTCGTTACAACATGTTTTGAAAAATCCTTAGGAAAAGTAAAATAAATCAATCATCCTAAAATGTAGTTCAAATCAAAATCAGAAATTCAATTGAAAGATGGATAATTCAGTGGATGAAAATAAGCAAGATAATAAAAGTTCTTACAATTTTGTTCGGTATTAAAAAACTACGGCGATTATGTTATTCACCGTTTTTATATTAAAAAACATAATTGGTTCACGTTCCCCTGCATTGAGTGTCACAACACCTGTGCCACCCAATATCGCAACACTATATCGATCAAAATCGCAAAGGTCTTTACGCAACCGCGATAAAAACATTCTTTACAAAACTAAAATAAAACAAAACACAAAAAGGCTAATGAAATTGAAGAAAAGTAAGAAAAGTAGAAGAGTAAAAATTACCTTGTAGAGCATAGAGAATGAAAATCTGAATTAGGGTTTATGTTGTTGTGTGAGTGTAACTAAGAAGAAAAGAAGGAGCGGCAATGGCAATAGAGAGAAGGTTTTAATGTTGTTAGGAAATAAGAGAAAACCGGGGACGCGTAGGCAGTTACTTATAACCTTGGGAATGTTATATAGTACTTTTATTTTAAATATACTATTATTCTCCGTCCAAAATTAACGATTTTTTATAAATATTATTTTATTAAAATTTGATATTCACGGATAGGTTATTTTTAATGGAGTAACCCTTTATGAATAGGGGTGATAATGGTGCGGGTCAAAAAATGAATTTGTTGACTCAAATCCAAATAATTTATAAATTATTTGAATCTATTTATTTACGAATATATCAAACCTAATTCATAACAAATTTATCGGATATCACGAATTCTCCAATCCACGAATCTGTTGATCAAATAAATTAATGTGTTTTTAATAATTTTTAATTATTTTAAATAAAAATATAAAATTAATATCTCATTAATAATAATTATTTTTTTTCAAAAAAATTATTCTCCAACAACAATCCTATTATATCAATGAGTTTAGGTAGTTCTAAATTTTTTATTTTTTTATTTTTAACTTATGTATTTTATAAAAATAATGTGTCTTGTTAAATCTTATACTATTATCAATTGTTATGTCGTGTTGATGAATTTTTATCAGTTATTATATGATGTGTTTCATCGAATTTGAGTGTTATAAATGAATCTAATTGTATTGAGTTGTGTTACTGATCTCACCTGATCAAAAGGAGTCACTGGGCGGCCACATGTCTGAGCTGTCTGGCTGCTGGGGAGAATGGAGGAGGTGTACTTGAAACACACTCTGATGCCAAATTAAGGGTCGGGCAGAATGATAACAAGTACAGAAAGAGAAGTAAAAATGAGATTACCTGACCCTCTAGTGAAAGAGAGTATTTATAGTGTGCCCCAAACGCAGGGCCAACGGTTATTTCGCGTTGGGCTGGACTGCCAGGCCCAATGCTGGTAACTTATAGGGCTGACGTGGTGTCAGAAAGACCAGCACGTGGTCTTCGCCCTAGTGTAACTGCTCTGTGCTATCCGGGAGGTGGATGACCGAATAATCAGGGCACGGGTAGTTACCTGATGACGTGTCTCCATGTAAGGGACACATTGAGAATGTGGGGGAGGTCAGAGGAGCCCTCCGAGCTGGATAGGGTCTTCCCGACGGTTAGGCAGAAGGGAAAGCGTGCCTGACAGATGTGAGGTGCCTGCTCGACTGCCAAGAGGTTCGTGCCCGACGGGAGAAAGGGTTCTGCCCGACGGGGAGGCAGTTTAGGTCTTATTGGGGCTTCCAACCCGATGTGGGGTTAGGCTTGCTCGACTGTGGGCCGAGTGTCGGCCCAGTCCAAAACAGTAGCCCCCCAAGTCGTTGCTCGTGGTCAAACGAGTTATGACTTAAGGTGCAGAAGTGTCAAGCATGTTGCTTTGTCGGCCTGTCCGCGACCATACAGTCGGGCAAGTCTGCGATGCGTGGGGAGACTCGCGAACGAGGAGAGGGAACCTGAAGAGACGCAGGGAAAGCTGAGAGTCGCCATGTGTCACCCTAGGGAGGCTACGAGCTAGGTACTTGAATGCCTCGTGACGCTTCGTTTCTCGTGCTAGGGGCGTGTGTGTGTGTGTGTGTATATATATATATATATATATATATATATATATATATATATATATATATATATATATATATATATATATATATATATATATATATATATATATATATATATATATATATATATATATATATATATATATATATATATATATATATATATATATATATATATATATATATATATATATATATATATATATATATATATATATTTGTGTGTGTGTGTGGGCTCAGTCCGCCTTTTCGCTCAGTTTTCTGAATTCTTTGCTCGACGTCTACAACATTTCTTCCCGACGCAACCACCACTCTCCGTCTTACCACGTAAGTTTCCGCCCCCTCTACTAGTGTTTTAGCAGGTTTCTGGCGGCGTTTCCGGTGGCTGTGGTTGTTTCCGGCGAATACGCCAGAAAGTCCTTCAAAATTAGGATTTTGACCGAACGTCCGCGACACTTGTGATGAGTGACCCGGGGAGACGTGATGATTGTTGAATGTCCCGAAGGTGTTTGATGAATACCCCAGGCACGATCGATGAGTATCCTGAGGACAAAGGATGAATTCCCCGAGAATGATGAAGGATCTAGGGTTAACCCAGATCGGTCCTCTGGGCGACCCGGGGGCGTGTCACAGTTCTGCTCGACTTTGACCGTCCACGCCCTTTCACTTGAACTGCGGTGGAAGGGTGAACTTGATTTAGCTGTCGAATTCACCGAGTTCCTCTACTTTTCGTGTAAATGGCTTCCCACGAAGAAGAAGAAATAACGTGGTATCTGTCCAACGAAGAGGGGGTAGCCAAGACGGGACCGTCGTGGAAACTCCTAACAGGCCGGCAGAAGAATGGGCCAGGGACGAACCCCGTAACTACATGTCACGTTTCGTTTTTGGACGTGGATGTCTTTGCCGTAATCGAGGATAGAGTCACCGGGGTTCCACGCCAGTTTAGGGCATGTCGTCATCGGGAGCAGGATCGTATTTGTTCTCGCTATGATGGGGGACAATTCCCCATGTACGAGTTCGCATTTAAGGAGGCGGAGATGTGCCTTCCGTTCACGGATTTTCAACAGGGAGTTTTCGATCATCTGATGTTGGCGCCCTCTCAGCTCTACCCCGACTCTCTTGCCTTCATTCGTGCCTTTGAGATCGTATGCAACTATCTCGAGCTCAGGGCCACCATTCTACTCTTCTTCTGCGTCTTTCATCTGCAACAGCAGACTGTGTCTGGGCGGTACAACTGGGTATCCCTGAAGCAGCCGACCAGGCTCTTTCGGGCATACACGGATTCTGTCTGGGGGTTCAAAGACAGGTGGTATATGATGATGGCGGAGACGAACAGAGCCATCAATATGTTGTTCCGACGTGAGGTTACCGTGGTGAGCGGTAAGCCCGAGGTGGACTTCCATTCCCATTTCCCTTTGGAGTGGATAGAGCTGCATTTCCAATCTAGCATAGAGAGCTTCATCTATCGGCCTAACCATCTGGACAAGGATGATAGTTTAGCCTTCAAGAAATTGGTCGACTTTGTCGGGCGGCTCCCCCCTTGCAAATGCGTGACACCGGAAGGGC